TGTTCTATATGATGCTAAAGGGGTTTCGCTGATAGATTTCATTAATAAACATTGCATTTGAAATTTTTGTTCTCCTTTTTATTTCTGTTTTACATTTATGTATATACATATACACGTATACATGTAGTTATATACAAACATGTAAAAATTATATTTAAAACGCAAAATTATTGTATAGAGAGGTGCGTATCGATACGATTGTTTTTATCAGGTTTTATCTTATTATAATATATACACCGAAAATAAATAATAAAGGAAAAAAAAAACTATAAGAATACAAAACAAAAAATAATATTTTTCCCCCATTTATCATTATTTATTTATGTTGAACTTAAGCAATTACTACAATAAGATAAAAATCTGTAAATTAAATTTATAAATTAAAATATTTTTCTTTTATGTGTGTGGCTTTTTAAAATTATAATAATATTTATTCAATTTTTATTTTATATTTATACTTGTGTACATACAATATAATTTTAATTTTAAATAAAATTTTAATTAAAAATTTGGTCTTTTAAATTTATGGCAAATGGTACGGTAAATATTTGTGATATAACATCGGATATAAGTAAAAGGAATTCAGGTGCTGTGAAAATCTTCATTGTAAACAGAATTATAGCTATAATGGTTGATATAAGGAAAATTTTTTTGAATACTGTAAAAAATTTTGTATTCTTTAAGCAAAATTATTTCAACTTCATTGAGATTTCATAATTTATATCAAAAAAGAAAGATTTAAATAATCAGTTAATTAATTAATTCTTCTTTAAAATGTGGAATGAATTGCAAAAACATAACAATTACTCAGGTTATTAAATTTTTCAGTGGTTTTCAAATTTAGTTGCCTTGAAAAACACGCAACAATAAGTATTTTTTGTGGAGTAATATAGCTTTAATAAAAACCGTTATGTAAATAACGTTAATTTGATAATAATAGCATTTTTCATAATTTCGACAATAAAATCATTTTTCAGGTATTGCTAATATTTCCAAACTTTGTTTTGATCTTTATTTACCGTTGACGTCATCGTCAGTTAGTTAGTTAGAGAGAGGAGGTGGCGCCCTCAATACTACCACATAAAAATGGTAGACCAGTGGAAGGCCCATCGGCATTCCTCCACAACACACCTCTGCCCGTTAAATATATAGAGGTCACTTGACCATTGAAAAATTTAACAGATCATCCACAGGCGCTCCAGATAGCTCCTCAAATCCGGCGAAACGATATGCTTCCAAAAACATCTTCTACACCGCATCAGAACGGAGCACCAGCAGAGCATAACCATTAACGTAATAAGTAATTTAGAGCATGTTAATATTTATTTAACTGCTCTGCCCCCCTCGCGAAATATATGCCCACCAATACAGAAAAGAAAAAAAAACAATCCGACCCGACCAACTTCTATTATATTTTCCATTTACAATAATTAATCAAGTCAAACATCATAATTGACATCATTCAACTTTTTGTTTTGTTGCCCTTGCAGACTGTCATTCGTATAGATATTCTTATTATAATTCTGTTTCTGTATGAAAAGTTATTTAAAAATAAGTTAATTAATTTTTCAAATTCTGAGAACGTAAGTTTATATTAACGTCAAGACGCTATTTTCTACATAATTAACATCATATAATAAATATCGAATTTTCAAAAGGAACCCATATAGAGGAGTTTAATTTCATTTATACTAAAAATATCATCATTAATACTTCTCCATTTTTCTACGAATTGCTGTAAAATAAGACGTAAATGCTTTTATAGATAATTCAAAATAATCCGCATCTTGCTAAAATTTAATGCATTATATTAAAATATTCTAATAAAATAATTTTAGTATGAATTAATAAGAAAACATATATCCTTAAGAAATTTTAAAATAAAATATAATTAATATTTCAAGGATAAAATCCATATTTTAAGTATTTGTATATTAATAAGTAAAATTTCAACTATTTTAATGTAAAATTAATGGTAATTAAAATCTTTTAAATTAAATCAAAAATAGAATGCTTTAGCACTTAATACGAAACTTAAGCATAACGTTTTATATCACAAAAAGTATATATAAAAGTAAAAGAAGCCTACATTCAAAACTATAACAATTTTAAAACACTTTATTTCGTTATTTTACTCTGCAGTTAGGTTAGGTTAGGTTGCGCCCCAAAGGGTACACTTATGCCATTTACATCGCTATGGTGCCGAAGGATTTCTTCCTTTCACCTCAATTATAACCAAGGTCCAAAACTATAGTTGGTTTTTAAAAACAAATTCTACAAGCAAATTTCCAATTTTGATTTGATTGAAAACTTTTTTTTTTTTTTTTTTTTTTTTTATCCTTTCTTCATTCCCGTTGGGAACATAGGGCTTCCACATAACCTCTAAATCTTACTCTGTTTTGTGCTAGGTATTTTACTTCTGACCATGTCTTTCCGCTTGATTCAACTTCTTTTAATATTGTTCTACGCCATGTGTTTCGAGGTCTACCCACTCTTCTTTTTCCCTGCGGATTCCATTCTAGAGCTTGCTTCGATATTGTGTTGTTTGTTTTCCGCAGAGTGTGGCCTAACCATCTCCATTTTCTTTCTTTTATTGTTGTGCATATAGGTTTCTGTTCTGTAATCGCCCAGAGTTCTCCATTTGTTATAATTATGGGCCAGAATACTTTGCATATTATTCTTAGACACTTATTTATGTATACTTGTATTTTATTGATATAGCTTGCGTCTATATGCCATGTTTCACAACCATATAGTAGTGTTGATTTTACACAGGCGTTGAATATTTTGACTTTTGTGCTTTAAATGTTGATCTTGCCTTAGACAATCTGTGTTCAATGTCTTGTTTTGTACCTCCATCATTTGCTACGATACTGCCCAAGTAATTGAATTGTGGCACATCTTCTATTGTACTGCTTTGTAGTTGGAGAGGTGTATTTGATTTTGTATTTACTTTAAGGCATTTCGTCTTGTTGGCGTTGATCTTAAGTCCGATTTTGGCAGCTTCTTCTTCTAGCACCTTAATTTTTTCTTGCATATCTGCGTGTGTATGTGCCAAGAGGCAGATATCATCGGCGTAGTCTAAATCTTCCAATCTGCTGGTCAGGTTCCATCTAATACCCCTTGCTGTTGTATTAACTCTACGCATTACATCGTCGAGAACCACCACGAAGAGGAATGGCGAGAGAGGGCATCCCTGTCTGACTCCTGATTTTATTTCAATAGGTGTGCTTAGCTGGCCGCCGTGTAGTATTCTGGACTGCGCGTTATCATACATGGCCTTAATTACGTTTACAATTTTTGTTGGGACGCCTTTGTGATATTGAAACATAGTGGAATATAACTTTTTGCGTTTCGAATACTTTTCAATATTCAAAATCTAAAGCATCAGTGTTTGAAAATTCCATAATTCAGTAATTTATAGCTGTTCAGTATAATAAATAAACATACTACATTATATAAGTTTGTTGAATAGAAAAAATTGTTTTAAATTCTAACCATATACTAAAACAAAAACTAAGGCGCTTATTTCGTGTTCTGTGATTTTAAAATTAGAAAATTTTTTAAATTATAAAATTTGATAATTTCCTTTTTTTTTTATTTTATTCTAGTTTTCCGAGTTATTGAATTATTCAATCAAATTATGAATTAAAAATTCTTTCTTTATATTTGTATTAAAATGAATGCATGTATTCTTATCAAATTCTTGTGCAATTCTCCTATAATATTTTTGTGACCTAGATTCTTTTTATGACATAATTCATACTTTAATATTCTTCTATAGTCAGAATTAAAAAATAAAGAATAATATTAGAAAACGTTGAAATTTTTAGAAAATAATTCAAATGTTTATAATTCAAATAGATAACACTATACAAGATAGTTATTGAAGGTTTGGAGGTCACATACAAAGTATATGATTTTGTTATACATATATTTCGAAATTTTTATAATTAAATATATAATACTTTTTTCGGCAAAATCAAAATTTCTAGTTTATTTTTGATTCATTTTTAGAGTATTATTAACGGTACAAGAAAATTATTAATTCTTCACTCTCGTCAAATTAGTTTTTCATTTTTGATCAAATGCGCTTGCTAAATTTCGAACAGCAAGCAACCTATCTTGGTTACAAGGTCTTTTTTCTTATTAATATCTTTTAATTTCAAAAAGAAACTTTAGGTTTATTCTAAGACACTATAGATTGCTCACTTAAACAAATACTATATTCGATTTAAAAATTGAGGTGTAAAATTTATTTAAAGAATTTTTTCAAACAGTTTCCTCAATTTTGATGGCTTCTCAAAATTGAGGAAACTGTTTGAATTTCGAAGCAACATACTTAAGAATCTTTAAAATTTATATTACGAAACAAATAAATATTCGATAAAATTTTTTGACTGAAGGAGAATAAAATGTTCGATGGACTTAAAATTGAACATTTTAAAGCGAAGCCACCTATTTATACCTATATGGGAACTTAGCATGGGAACTTAAAAAGTAACATAAATTAAAAATGACAAATAAAACGATAGAATATTTCAATTTCGATTACAGTGTAAGAATATTTTCAAATATATATACGTACATAAGTATGCAGTTTGAAAAATCGATCATTCATTCAAAACTCGGTTATAGTTGATAGTAGTTTAAATGTCGAAATCCGTTTTATATATTATTATGTATGAAAACTCTCTTAATTAGGAATACAAACTGAATGAAGACACATTCAAAAATTGAAGATTCGACACAGTTCGGTTCACAGATAAAATTGTTACGCTAGATAATATGTACTTAAGTATACCCCACTCAATTTCTCGCTATTTATAAACTACTGTAGTTAGAGTATAAATAAACTAAATCTAGAAGTATTGTGCGCTCAGATTGTTATACAGCTTTGAATAGGACGTAATAAATTAGTCTAAATTCTTAAAAGCATGTTTTAAATTTATAATACGTGTATACTAAAAACAATTTGTCTGACAATAAAATATGCTTACCTTAAAATATGATGATTGAATCATTCTACTTTGTTTTTTGTTTTCTTTTGGGACGACCCTTCCTCCTCCTTTTATTTTTAATTTAATCCGTTTATTATTAATATTTATTTAAAATAAATTTTAATTTTTAATATTTCATTTCAAGTATTTTCTTTTTTTCTCTTTCTTTTTTTTTAAATCACTAAAAATTATTTATTTTATATTACAACTGAAATAAAATAAAATTCTAAAGAGAAAAATTATGACAATAAAAAAATACAAAAAAAAAATTAATTTAAATTAAATTCTCAATCTCAATTAATTTCCAATAATAAATACACTTAATTAAATATTTAATAATAAAAATAATAACAAAATACGAGAACGAAAAAAAAAAGGGAAATAAATAAATTAATTTGTTTTAAGAGAAAAGAAAAAAAAAAGTTTTTTTTTTTTTGACATTTATTTGCATAATAATTATAATCTCTTCGCTCTTCACTCTTCTCTCTCTAAATAAATTTCTTATTCTTTACTATTTTAAAATTTTTTTATTTGTTTTTATTTTTTATTTTTTTATCTGTTGGTCATCTTTTGATCACATTTTAAAAATAATAATTTTTATTTAATTTTTTTTTCTTTTTTCAATTCACAAATATTTTCTCTTCATTTTTTTTAAATTTTATTCTCAATTCTTAATTTCATTTCTTATACAGCTGGTGTACATTTTCTTAAAGTTATTTATTTTTCATTCTTAAGTTATCGGGGAAAAAGAATCACGAAACAAAATACCGCTTAATCATACAATGTACAGTATACGCATATCGTAAGTAAGTTTACACGCTGATATACCTTTATAATATAATTATACGAATAAACAAATATACAATATTATGTTCTGCCTTTCATACTATATATTAATTGTGTGTATTATAAGACTGCAGAAAATATTTTTTTTTGCATATTTTTATTAAGCCTTTTTCATTATAAATTTTCGTTTTTTTTTTTAAAAATAATCGGCTATGAAACAAAAAAAAACGAAGTTAATATATAAGATAAGAGAGTATAGAAAATCTTATCAGAACTGAGCAAAGTATGCAATAAAAATAAATAATTTTGTTTTTTTTTCTCTTTTTCCTCTTTCTTTATCTTTTTTAGTATAAACAATTAACGCCACAAATATATTATTATTTTCTTATTATTTACAGATTATAATCCTTTTGTATTACAATATACAAAAATATATTATAAAAAGAGTTTCTGGCCAGCCTACCCGTTTCTTCTTTATTTCACAAGCAATTTTAATTTTTCATTTAAAAATTATTGTAAGTAGTTCATATAGAGGACTAAATTAAGAACGTATAATATGTACAAGTGCTTTAATGTCTCCTCTGTTGTTGTTTCTCTTCTTTTGTAATCGAAAATTTTGGTAAGAAAAAAAAAATTAATTGTAAATGCATTTTTCATGTTCTCCAATATATTTTATTGGAATATATGTGTGTAATAATCGTCATAATAATAACGATAATGATAATAATGATGATAATAAATTTATATATTGGGTGTAAGTATAAGAAGAAACAAATGATGATGGTCATATGATTATGATGATGATATTCAATATAGAATCATTCGTTTAGAATTTATTTTTTTTTCTTTTAATTTTTATATTTAAAATATAATTTTTGTTAAGTTTAAATTTGTTTTCTTTCAGTTTCTTCTTTTAATTTTCTCTCTCTCTCTCTCTCTCTCTCTCTCTCTCTCTTTATTAAATTTATATTTACTTTTGAATATCGACTTTAATTTTTATTTTATTTATTATTATAGCCAATATTTAATCATAAATAATCAACGTAATTGGATGTGAATTGGTTTTTTTTTTCTCGTTATTTATGCAATGAATTTGCGTTTACCAGCAGCAATCAAGAGTAAATTTGCAATCAAAAGAAAAGGAAAAATAAAAAGTAAATAAATTCTTAATGACCGTGACTGGAAAATTATTATCAGAAGAAAATAAAATATATATGTTAGTATGTATATATATGTATTTATAAAGTTTAAATTATTAGCAAAATTATTTTCCAATTAGATAAGCGAATTTCATTTAATGACGCTCTTTGTTAATTTATTATTTTAAATCATTGCGTTTTTTTTTTTTAAATATTTTCCGTGTTATAATGTTTTGAGTCTCTGCGGCTTTATTTTATTGTATCTTAGTTTTTAGAATTTTCAAGGTTTTTACTTTAGTCCTTTTCATTGTCTCTTATTCTAATATATATTTAATTATTAAAAAGTACACCGGAAGTAGGTAATTATAGAATTATTTTTAAAACATGTTACGAACTTTTATTATATTATAATTTACTGCTTTTTTAAAAAATAAATAATTATTTAATTTAATTTTCATATTTAAATTCCTATCACTTTTGCTACAATTTTACAAATAAGAAACCAAACCAACATAAAATCAGGTGTAAAAAATTAATGAGAGAAATTATTTTTTTTTTTTAATTTTCTTCCTCTTACTTTTTCTTTTAGTTAAAACATAACAATAACATTATTTTTAATAATAATATGAGGTGAAAATGAGAAAAAAAAATTTAGGAAAACTAAGAAAATAAATTATTATTATTTTTTTTTTGCAATAAAAAATGTTTATATAAAAATCATAAAAACCGTTATATACCGTTATTAACGTCTAATTTCCTCGACGTACGGTCAAATACTGAAAATTCCAAATAGAAAATTTTTGCTCGAAAACGGAATTTTTGTTATTTTTTTTTTGCATTTTTTTTTATGTTTCTTTCCCTATACAAGAAATTTTTTGGTTTTGTTTTTCGTTCATCATCTAACCTTTCATACGTTGCAGTAGCATTTGAAAAAATCTAAATGGATACAGCATTATAAGTACCCTATGAAAATATTCAGCTTAACGTATACAATAATGTAGAAAACGTATAAGAATAATAAAACGTATGTATGTATATAAAAATAAAGTATGAATTGAATTTATGGTTAAAAATCTGCATGATAAATTAAATGAAAATTACAGAGAAATCAACGATAATAGAAAGGTTGTGCAGATGCTGTAAATCGATAAAAAAAATTATTCCTTGTGCTGTGAATTTCGCTCGAGGTTTTCTCTTTTTATGGGAATATTTATGATTATACAGATTCTCAAATATGTACTCAAAACAGAAATGCAATTCTTAAGCAGATTCTCATATTTTGCAGATTTTCATGCAACGGTATAAAAAATATGAATTAAGAAACAAAAATAAAATGCTAACAGATACAATCTTCTCTGCTCACTGTTCCTCAATGTATCAAAATTTGTATGTATTAAAATTGATACAATTTTCTTAAATTTTTGAAGAATACAAAAAAATTGTTACTCTAATCAATTTATATTCGTTTCAAAATGTGAAACATTCCCAAAAAAAATTTTTTTAAATCATTTTTGGTTCTAATAATTTTTGTAAAATTACAAAAAATATTAAATTAAAATCATTGTTAAATGTTAAATAAGCTAAGCCAACCACTTTCTATCCTTTAGTTTATTGGATTATGTGTGAAAATGTCGTTTCGACGTTTCATAATAGTGTTCATAAAAGTAGTAACCACCTTCAAATATAATCTAATCTTCTGTAAACAATCAATCCTTTTTGAAAGAAGCCAAATATAATTTATGAATCCAATTGAATGTTGATTCATTACTCCTTCGTTTTTCTTTCGATATCTCAGCAAGTGCGAACATTATTTTTAATTTCCATAAAATATGAAAGAATTTTTCAATAAACGAATTTATTTAATCTTAATAACAGAGAATTCAACATGAAACAGAAACTTAACATTTAGGAACAAAATCAAAATATTAAAGAAAAATTATTTACAGAGAGAGAAAAAACCAAAATGAGATTAAATGGAAATGACAGAAATAATATTAACATCTCTCTTCATAATATGGAAATCTTAACCAGGTATACTCACACTTAATTTGTATTTTTTTTTATTATATTTGGTAAATAATTCTTTTAAAAAAATATTTTTGGCTGCAAAATAATCAATGCAATTCAAATCTATGGTCTCTGCATTCTTTTTGCCCATACAATTTTTTAAATTATTTTCAACGAGTACTCATTTCAACTTCCGTTCGTTTCTATTCCTATAAGAATAAATTGATATTGATTGAATACGATGATAAAATTCATCGTAAAGAAAAATAAATACGAATTATCCAGGTAAACTGTAATTGTAGTTGTATTCTGAACAGAAAATGTTAAACAGAAAAAATCATTTTATAAATTAAGTAATTTTATGTTTTATCAGTCATAAAGTGACACCAACAAACACATAACAGAAAAAGGAGACCCAAGTATGTACTACATAAAATTTTCGTTCTTGAATTTTTTGGTGTTATTCGATTATTTCCGAAAATATTGAATTTTTTGTATAACCCGAAATAATGCACTTTGTAATAATAAAAATTTTTATTACCATTCATACCTGTAATCTCTTTGAATTTAAGCACTTGATCGAGTTAAAATTTTCTAATTCAACAAAACAAAAATTTTAAATGAAACTAAAATATAAAAAATCAAAGAAACATTAATTTCGTTATTCTAAATCTAAAATAACACCAATAATGATTTCTTTATTTTCTTTCGATTTGCCGCAAAATGTTAACCAAGATTATGATTCATGTATTAATTGTATACTTCTGCTCAAGGAAACGGAAACAATGAAATCAAACAAAAAGAGAGCAACATAATTTTGCAGATACTCAAATTCTATTTCCATCGCTTCGAATTTAACAATAAGCAGACAGAAGAGCACAAAATACTAAGAACATATCTTACACTTACACACACTACACAGAAAATTAATTATCAATCACCTCACCATTCAGCTATTTCAATATTCTCAAGAGAAACTGTTCATGCGCTCTATTTTAATGAAAGACAAAACTTATTCATGTTCATACATAATTGACATACTTTTTACGTAGAGATAAATTTTATCTTAAGTAAGAATATAGAAATAGTAGTAAAAATAATTTTAAAATTATGAATAAAAATATTTATAACATAGGCAAAGAAAATAATATTTAACATTATAAAGTTTTTTTGTAGCTAGTTTTTACGTGAAATGTACGAGTTCACATAACATTAATGTAAACAAAAACCTTAATTTATTTTATTATTTATT